TCTCTCTCTCTTCTATCTCTCCTCTCTCTCTCTCTCTCTCTCTCTCTCTCTCTCTCTCTCTCGCTCTCTCTCTCTCTCTCTTCTCTCTCTCTTCTCCCCTCTCTCTCTCTCTCTCTCTCTCTCTCTTCTGCTCTCTCTCTCTCTCCTCTCGCTCATCTCTCTCTCTCTCTCTCTCTCTCTCTCTCCCCGTCTCTCTCTCTTTCTCTCTCTCTCTCCTCTCTCTCTCTCTCTCTCTCTCTCTCTCTCTCTCTCTCGCTCTCTCTCTCTCTCTCTCTCTCTCTCTCTCTCTCCCCCTCTCTCTCTCTCTCTCGTCTCTTCTCTCTCTCTCTCTCTCTCATCTCTCTCCTCTCTCTCTCTTCTCTCTCTCTCTCCCCTCCCTCTCTCTCTCTCTCTCCCTCGCTCTCTCTCTCTTCTCTCCTCTCTCTCTCTTCTCTCATCCCCCCCTCTCTCTCTCTCTCTCTCTCTCTCTTCTCTCTCTTCTCTCTCTCTCCGCCTCCTCTCTCTGACTGTTCTTCTTTCTCGGTCTCTCTCTGTGTCTCTCTCTCTCTGCGTTGTCCTCCCAGCCACTCTCGCTTATGCCTCACTCTCTCGCTCGCTATCCCTTTTCTCGCTGTGTCTTCTCGCACTCTACTCTCTCTACCACGTTCACTCACCTACGCACGCGCCCTACTGTGATCCAGCCTGTACCAGGCGTCACACTCGCACCGGTACGCAGTCCCGGTGCCGTGTGTATACACTGTCCGTTGATGCCACAGCAGAGGTAGCTGATCGCCAAAAACATAGTGCACCTGACGGCCGTCTCGGTTTTCGTCTTTTCCTCGGTTCTGGCTTCAAGAGGCTGCGTGAACCGATCTGCATAGACGCAAACAGCATACAGGTGAGATTATCAGATGTGACGTTGAATTATGTTTGAGGTGTATTGAAAATGATGAGTAAGCCAAACACGATGTTGTGACGGCCCTTAATTAGTTTAACATGTAAACGTAATACCAACAACCTAAACTGGTTACGCTAATCAACTTGTGATAAACTGGTGTTGTCATCGGTTGTAATTTCGTAGTCGAATCATCGGTGGACCCAAGTACCGATGGATCGGTTACATCGGTTAACTCGGGTGTTGATGGCCTGCGTGTGCGTAACGTTCGTGATGCATGTTACGTGTAGTGCATGTGATGTGTTGTTTAGCCTGTTTACTGTTTGTTTTGCACTGTTTACTTACTGTGCTGCGTATATAATGTATGCTTAATAAAGGATAACGGTGGCTATAGTAGCGATGATATCTCTGATTCTCATCACTTTTCCAAGTTTTTCTGGCTTTCAGGTTTTACAATTGATTTTATTTTTTTTTTTTTTTTTTCCGATGAAAATCGCATTATGCGATTTTGATAACAAGCACCTTGGTCTCGAGCCACTGTTCATCCGATGCATCGAGTATATCGATGATCGTGCATCACTAGCTAAAAACTGCCAACAAACTCGCCAACAAACTTGGCCAACTTAACTGCCAACAAAATGCAACAAAACTGAACTAACTGCAACACTAACCTTGACCGCGTGCGGACAGATCTCGCCACTGAGCAGCCACTGGGATCCCACCGCCTATGCCGTTTGCACCAGCAACGCACACGCCCATCGGGGTTCCTGAAGACATCGCGTCGTTGCATGTCCGTTCACACGATTTTAGCAGATACCCAACGCCAGCCTGTGACTTGCGACGCGGAACGTGTGTCCAGTGTTGAACCTCTATCGTCAGGAAACTTCAAGCGGCCAAGGTCCTCGCTACACCAGCGGGGCGTTACCGCAGAGCTGTCAAACCTAATAAGGCGAGGAAACATGGATGGCCGGCAAATGCGCGCAGATGTGGCATCCTTGATCAATTTTAGCATTATAACCAACAGGAATCTTAGATATTGAAAGAACTACGTCCTTTAGATCGTGTTAAAAACTATAATTATTCGGTTGCAGTGCGGTGAAAGCGTACTTCAAATAAAATACTAGATGTGTACTTCTGATAAATTGTGAATATAGTGAGACTTAATTGTAGCTGGTTTGCATTCTAGAGACAGATACGCACACACGCACGCACGCACGCACGCACGCACGCACGCACGCACGCGCACGCTACGCCGCACGCACGCACGCCACACACACACACACACACACACATGACACCGCAGGCACGGCACGCACGCACCGCGTACGCCGCACGTCTAGCGCACGACGCACACACACAACACAATACACCGCAGGGACACGCACGCACGCACGCACGCACCGCCACAGCACGCACGCGACGCACCGCACACACACACAATACATATTATATATATATATACAGTATAGATTAATTGTAGCAAATGCGAAGGTACGCCACTATACGTCAACCTAGAAACATTTCAATCATCTGCTGTGGCTCCAGCATTATTTAATCAACTGCAATTTTGCCCTCTATTTTGAATACATCAGTAATAAACCTAAGAACATAGCCCATGCTTCATTCCACACCGCAGCCTTGTTTTTTCATTTGTTTATATCATTGTAGGTTGTGTGCTCAGTGGTTGTGTTTATTAATCATATTTACTAATGTTCGTGAAGAGTATTCTAACGCGAGTAAATAAGCAGATCTCAGCGCTTGCCTATGCTGACTATTCGATGTGGTTTTTAGTCAGCGCAGTGCCTATAAATACTAACCAAGACTGTACTACTCGTTTCGCTGCTGTAAGACCCCATCCTCGCTACCCAACGTATGAATCACTTTAGTTCAACATGGATATAGTAATTCACGATGATATGTTTATATATCAGAGCGAATAAACACTAATATATTTATTAGCTCTTGATACTTATACATATATAATATATTATGTGTAGTGTGTGTGCGTGATGCGGTGTGTTGCAGTTGTCGTTTGCCGTGCGTTAGCGTGGCGCGTTGTGCGTTGTGCGTTGCGTGGTCGCGTGCATTTGCGTTGCGCGTGTGCGATCCGTGCATGCGTGCGCGTGCGTGCGGTGTGTGCGTGTGCGTGCCTACATGCTATGCGTGCGTTGCGTGCCGTTCGTGCGCAGTGGCGTGGCTTCAAGCTGTTTCTCATCGTAGGATACACTCAACCGTAGAGGCACTGCCTGCCATCAACTGCTGCGTTGATAGCCTGGCGGACACGTGCATGAGGTGAAGCTACTAGAGGTTTCTCGCAGCGTCCGTGACGCGCACACAGCGCCCAGTCTCCGCACACTCGTCCATCTGCAACGAATTAACGGCCCACACGAGCCGTTAGCGGGCAGCATCGTCGCAGCAAAAAATGGCACGCGTCTACATACAGTACGATGATAGATGTTACTAGATACAAAGTTCTGATATAGCTACCCGATAAGACGTGCAACTTACCGTGTCATAATAATGCCATACATGGTGCTCTGTGATGAAAAATAGATGCAAAATATTCCTTGTGCGGCTTTCAGGCCGTACGCGTAGGTACATAGCGTTGGTTAGGCAATTATGGAGACTCCATGCTAACTATATCACGTCTTCTCTCTAAACCTTGAACCAAGAAAGCAGTTGTGCTGAGAGCGAAAGGAGGAAGGTGAGGCGCAACCTATGATGTAGAAAGGAAAACTAGGTTGAAACGAATGCGGCGTGATAGCTGCCCATAATATATTATAATACGAAACGACGAAAGCATTAAATGAAAGACGTTATATAAATATATATATAATATATCAGGATATATATATACATATATATTATATCTATATATATATCCGGGCCAGCTGTCATTGCCTGCTGGCACGTTTATCGCGAACACACTGCTGGATTAGCGACGATATTACTTGGTGCCCAGAGATTCTGCTCATCAGCATGTCGCAGCTACTGGCCTAACTATTAGGCGGCCGTTCACACTGCATGCGAATTGCGGGATGCCAAATCCCGCGTTTTGACATCGACGCATTGAAAATTAATTACAAGTGTTGAACGCAGATATCTCACTATATTACGATCAGCATCGCGCTCCAAATCGCCCACTTCTTGACTGCGCATATAGTTGGTACTTAGCGCGATTAATTGCGTCGTGTGAACCGCTCGCTGCAAGCTAATCCTGGTATTTTTCTATCCCCATCAATATGCCAATGCGAAGTGAGCCAGTAGAGCAATGGCGCAGTGAGCATCAGTCCGAGACAGTGGCATGCGCAGTTCGCATTATAATAGAATTATCCCGCTCGCGGCGCAATATAGAACGAGATATTTTCCGCCTGCTGTGAACAACAGACACAATTTATCTTCGGTATAGCCGCCGTCTTTTTTGTGTGTGAACACGCCTATTGTTTTCTTTAAGTAAGCGGCAGAAGTTTCAATAAGTGCCCTCAGAGAACGGCACCATAAGTAATAACACACACGACAGCACGCACACACCACACACACACACACACACACACACACACAACACCACACACACACACACACCACACACACACAACACACACACCACGCCGCACCGCACGCGCACCACGCAGACACACACGCACACCCACACACACACACACACACACACACACACACACACAGCACACACACGCGGCGATATAATGCCATGAGTTTCCAATTTTAAAATTTTTCGTGTGTGTGTGTGTGTGTTTGCGCGCGCGTGTGTGCCGCAGTGCACTGACCGCACACAGTACGCAGTTACGAGCAGTCTGTTGAAAGCACTACAATTTTCCCGATTTCTTCCTTCTTCTCACTTCGTCGTGAGATTCACTGCTGCCGGCGAGCAAACCGCAGCTGCCTCGCAGCAAATCTCTGCTGAAGAGTTTACACCCAAAGCTCTTAAATATTCTCTCTCTGTAAATATTTAACAGTGGAGGATTACACAGAGCTTTGTTTGCGTGATCGAAACCTCCGCACACTCAATCATTCCAAGTACAGCCACGCGCCGGGCCCACTCGTCGGTGTCTGTGGTAACGAGGTGGCTGAGCCCTCATCAACGCTCCAACATAAACGACGAAAGGCCTTCTTTCGTTACGGAAACGTTCCGCGGATTCCTGGTTCAGCGATTAGCGCGATCCTGGAAACAGCCGCGTCGGCATCTTTCTTACACACACGCGCACGCACGTACACACGCACGCACGCACGCACGCGCGCACACACACCGAGGCGTTACTCCCCGTCGGAAATCGTTCCCGGTCGCATTCTCTTCGTGCAAAATTCGCTTCAAATTCTTGTGAATTCTTTACGTGTTTATATTACACTGCCGTCCTCAGTCCACAGTAGAATCTGAGGTTCCCTCACAACCCCGTAGCTAGACAGCAACATAAGTCACGACAGGAAACATACGTCAATCAGGTAACGACAGTAAAACATGTATGTAGTGATCGTTACTTCTCCGGTCCTACCGACCTGCTAGGCGAATGCAGCAGAAGTTAGTTCTACACTACTAACGAATGCGATCTTATAGATCTAGAGACGCATCGCACTGAAGTCGCTCTCGGAACAAAAACGGCTGCATTCTGTCAGCGGCAGCGGCGGCGATGATGATGACGATGCCGCCTCCGACTCGGTCGTTTTCGTCTGCGAAAAACGACAGTTGCCGTGTTTTCTCTCGGCTCGCTCGCGCCGCCACATGTTACACCCTGCAGACCGTCACAACTGAGCCGGAAAAACACAGTGAGTTTGACGAGGGGGGTGTATATTGCGGGAAGACTTCCTAGCTGACGCTCAGACGGCCCGTGTTGTGCACCAACCACGGGAGGCCCCGAATCGGGATGGCGACATGGGGAACCCTGAACTGGGATCGCATCCGAAGACGCGAAACAATCAAGAGA